TCATTATACTGACAGATTATTGTCTGATGATTAGAGGTTTTGTGCATAAAATCTGTCCATTTCCTACATTTCTCAAAATGACTTCACACAAACAGAAAAACACAGCAATCTTTTTTTTTTAAATTGCATTTTGGAAAAACTATTTATTTTCAAAATAAAACAATAATGACAAAGTCAGAAAAAAGATATATCAGTCAGATTGCTAGTTAGTGAATTCCAAACCTGGCCCATAAACAATATTACAAAGGACACAATCAGCACCACAAACCAGTGACATAAAAAAAACAAATTTAAAAAAAGCAACATTTTTAATATAAATGACATCAAACACAAGACAGAGATGCTCCTTCAAATTAAATAAAAAATTATATAAATATAATATTTTATGCTTCAAGACCCCAAATGTGATATGAAGTATCGTGAAGAGTCAAATGAAAATATTTATATTGTATGTGGTCATGACATAAAAAATTAACAGAAAACATCACACAGTCATTTTTATGAAATAAGGACTACAATATACAGTTGGACTAAGGCTTTTATTGTGAAAGTTTTGAAAAATATATGCTTATTTTGAGTTAAAAACAACAACAAAACAAAACAAAAAAGTTGGCTGTGTTGCATCACTTTCTCTTTGGGAGCCAAACCACTCATTCTGATCTGATATATCTACCTGGTTAGCTATTTAGCAGTTAGATTTTTGATTTCATGTAGTAAATGTTTTCATTGGGTGAGAAGTTTGGGGTGCGGGTTGGCCTGATGAGATGCTTTTATTGTGGAGCAGAGCTGCTGTAATATGTACAGAATGATAATTTTACTGTAAGTCTGCAGATTCTGAGGTTTGTAACATTTAATTTCTTTTGTAATTTGGCACTGTTTACAGAAACTGCAATCTGACCTTGCTCTGACACCTGGATCCTCCAGACCACAAATTGCCCAAACATCTGCTTTTATAAAGGTGCTCACACTTACTGATGATCAGTTAATTGAGTACATCTGATTAGTTACCCTTTTAAGTCCTATGAAAGCAGTTCTGGTGTAGCATCCAGGATTTTGGAAACTGAATCTAACACCATGTATTTTAGGTGTTTTTTGCCAAATACTTAGGAATATTTTAAGTAGCCTTCATTTGAATTTTTGCCAAGAGTTTGACAGGAAGATAACCATGCCCAGGTAACCAATCAGTACCCAGGAAAAAGCTTTCCAGGCTCTAACTGCAGGAAGTAAAATTCAGCTCACCACATTATAGTCTTTTTTTATTTTACCTGTACAGAACCAAAGTGTTAGGACATAGTAGCTGACTTCACAAACTTTCAACATCCCATGAGGAAGAATAGGAAGTTACTGTGCCTTTTCTGGCCAAAAAATTTGCTAACTCTGAAACTGCCGTCCTTGCTTTGGGTTTTCCATGCCTGCACATGGAGTAATGGAAATGTCCCATAACATGACATTATTTTAAAAAAATAAACTACAGCAGATTGAAATACCAGTCATCTTTTCACTGGAATAGCCTTGGCTCAATTTACAACTTCAGAGAACACACAGAGCACAATGTCACAGTTCTCAGCACTACCTGTAGAGCTCAGCTGAAAATGTGTCACTGCGATCAAGCTGAACCTCATTACCCTGTCCCAGGTTTGAAGGGAAAAGGTGTTGCCGAGGTAGCCCAGCCACTTATCAAATCTAGCACCTCGATGTGGGCTTTTCCTGGCTCTCAGCGCGCCGGGGCCTGAGTGAGAATACTGCCTTATTATTATATTGTTGCAGAGCCAGAAAATGGACACACACACACATTCACAGTTACCTGGAGAACTCCCTGGTGTGCAAGTTAATTAGCAAAGGATCTTAAGAAATGCACCTGGTTTCCGACTTGCTTTCCTCTAACAAAGAGATGGTGACAAAGCGGCAGTGTTGGTTTCTGAATTCAAGCAACGAACGCCAAATTTGACTCGCTCATTCTCATTCTGATTGGCATTTTTCAAAGAGGAAGCAAATTATTAATAAGCAGCTTGTGAATGCAGAGCAGTGTGAAACCGCGCGTTGTTCTCCAGGGTCAGACATGAGTCACTTTGGTTCAAGCAGGAGGGGCACACTGATTGATTTTTCACCTGTCTGCATCACACAAATGCCCTTTGAAACTGAGCCTTTTAACATATAGATGATGAATCATATTTAACTATAAAACATACCTTTGCAAAAAGACAAAAGAGCAAAGTTTGAAAAAACCCAACAGAGCCACAGTTCTCTTAAAGCAGAACACTATGAAGCCTGTGATAACAGTCCCCACAGAAAAGCCTTTCAAGCAGGTTGATTTTCTGCTGTAATATTACGCTCTGTAATATCTGCACCTTTCCTGTGCTGAGCGTCTAACCCGCGCAGTCATCACGCAGCTTTTCACTCAGGCAATCATGAGTGGAGTCTTTGGGGACTGAAGCAGTCTTTTGGGGACTGGATGCAACCAGGAAACCAGCCGCAGTTAGAGGAAGGCTGATGTAAGACTGCCACCTCTGCTCCCTGGGACATCTTGTTTACCGCTGCGTCTGGTTCACCCTTCTTTTCTACTTCCTTCCCTCACTCAGGCGTTTGCTGTAATCGCACGCACACTTTTAAAGGTATGAATTCATTTAAATGGATTCATACCTTCTCCCTCCAATCCCTTGCTACAATCAGACAGTCTGTGGACGATCAGGCCAGCTGGAAACCTCCAATCCGAGTCCAGCAAAGTTGCTGCGAGAGTCTGCGCTCTTGCACACCATCAGCTCCTCACTCAGTTTTTGTTGTTGTTTATTTTTTTTCCCCACCAAACCCATGTTTTGTTTTTTTCCCCCAGTGGCCCCTCTTTAACTTCTCCTTAAATCCCCATGAAGAACAGACAAGAGGCAAATCAAAGGAAAAACCCAAACCCTTGACCCCAACAGTTTTATCCTCTTTATCTGTCGCTGCGTCCTCGAGGGACACTTTTACAGTTAAAAGTTGATCCAGGAATCTGCATCCTTTCTGGCTTAGTCAGTGCTGCCATAACTTAGATTTCGTAGAATTTGCTTATATGAATTAAAAATAGTTTAATCACAATCTCGAAATCTCGTGGGACTTTGATTTCCTTCCACACTGAGTTGTTTGTATTGCCAAGGGAAAAAAGGGAACGCACGAAAGTCAGCAGAGTCATTGTGACATGGATTATAAGATGCGTTATTCAAAACATCTGTAGCACAAGGCTTTTACCGCTGCTGGCACTGTTGGCTCAAAGCTGAGCAGGAAGCCCCATCATCCATCACTTATTCGGTCTCCTCTGTCTTTTCCGCAGGAATGCGGCACGTTTCAAGCTCTCCGATTTGTAGCTGAGAGCTGTTCTAACTACTACTACTCTACTGCTCAGTGTCCCGCACTTCAGCACCGGGGTACCTGTGCCCTCATTAACGTAGTTCCTTGTAGCGTGGTTTCCGTGGTAACGGAGGTGAGGAGAAAATGAGTCTATCACTCAGCTGAATGCCTTGTTACCAGAGCGGAGGTTGATATTTCAGGCTCGACTTGTTGTGCTGGAGTCAGTTTCCTGTGCTGTCGACTCGGAGGCTAGTCGCGAAATGTTTTGAGCACCTGATGCCAAGATATTCATTCAGATAGCAATTTAGAGACATATGAAGCCGTGATTTCACTTGTTCGGTTGATTTCCCGCAGGTGCAATTAGTTTCCGCACCCCCTCCACAATCAATGATGAGCGGCTGTGTTTTACACACTGACTTTAATCTTGTAGCTGTTGATGTAACAATGACATGCTGCTGGTGTTTATCAGTAAGGATAGGCTGTGTCCGTGGGCACACCGAGGTTAACTATAGTTAACTCTTTAATATGCTGCGCTGGAAAACTCATTTTTAGTTAGGTGAAGTAAAAACTGTTCTTTAGAAAAAAAGGGAAACACAAATAGTTTCTTTAGTTTTAGTCCGTGCCAGTGTGATCAAAATCATTCCAGAAGAAATTCTTACTCCTTGTCTAACATTTTTGCAATGTGGCAATTATTTGAGCTGTCGTTTTAGCGTTTATCCACATTGACAGGATCACCCGTCAAATCTCATATAACAGGCTTAAAAAGTCCCAAGAATAAGGTTTTAAAAGCGTTATATAAGTTGATTTCCTTGTCATCGTTCGGACTCACATTGTTCTATCACTACAATCATAAACACTAGGCACATAATAAATTTAGGGTATTTAGGAAAGGCAGCTCTACCCGCCTTTGCCCTGGGCCTAAAATGAGCAGTATCTGTTTTAAAAAGTGATCACATTAAAGGTCTGACTTATGATTAGTTATGTCTGGAGTATTTTACAGTCATTCCTTTGGGTTTTTACAGTACTTTAAGGGAAGTAGTGTAACTCTTCAAATTACACCCTGATGTTGGCATCGATGCTATGTGTATGTCTGTATGTATGCTTGTCAGCTGGCAAAGGCTTACCAACACTTTCCAATAAACATGCCCCTTCGGTGCTGGAGCTATTTTAAATGCATTATGCGGTCTGTTACAGCTGGCAGAGAAAAGATCATAACCAATTTTGTGTAACCTGCTGAGTGTGTTGTATTTACTGATCCACTGAGAGTAGTTGATTGCTTGCAGGTCTGATTATTTAGCTCCATTCAATTTGGGTCATTCCCCAGAGCTCCAGTACACATTAGTGATGGCCTATTGCGACGGCCTGCTGTTCTGGCAGCTTGTGTTCACGTCTCAAGCTGTGGCTGAGTCAGAATGGTAATACTGATAGGAGACAGAATGAAGGATGGATTGATGCATAATGCAGCACCTGCTCAATCTGCAGATGCTGGAGTTAATGCGTGCAAATGTGTTAGACAGACAGACAGAATTCTTTTGGTAAACATGGATAAGTTATGATCTCTGTTTTTATCCAAAGTTATGTTGTGATCTCTGCCACGCTGCGAGAGAGAATAATGTGTTTTGATTTTCTCCTGCACAGTTCATCTCTCATCTGTCTGCGTTGTGTTCCCTTCTCCGCAGCGCTGTCACAGAGCTGTTATTCATCCCTGCATCATGGAGGATCGGCCAGGTGCATCATGGGAGCTCATCAGCAGTGCGACTGATACAATATATGAAGACTGAGAGGTCGTCATGGAGACCGGCAGCTACACGTCAGGCCCGGCCACTACTGATGGGGTTCGGACAGCCGCTGGGCTGGAGGGACTCGGAGACCTTCAGGAGCGAGGAGGCGGCGGCTCTTTCAGCACCCCTGCGTCCTGGTACCCTCCGTACTCGCTGGGCTTCCAGGTGTCACTCACCGCCTTCCTCATGCTGGAGCTGGTGTTGGGATTCAGCAGCAACCTGACTGTGCTGGTGCTCTATTGCTCCCAATCCAATTTAGTGGACTCTGTGAGCAACATGGTGACCGTCAACCTCCACGTGCTGGATGTGGCGGTGTGCGTGCTGTGTGTGCCCCTCACTCTGGTTGTTGTTCTTCTGCCTCCGGGACCCAACCTGGCCTTGGTGTGCTGCTTCCACGAGGCCTGTGTCACCTTTGCCAGCATCGCCACAGCCATCAACATCCTGGTTATCAGCTTGGACCGATACGACATCTCGGTACGACCGGCCAACAGGCTGCTGACGACACACAGGGCGGCGTTGCTGCTGATCGCCGTCTGGATCACCTCGGTCGCTGTGTTTTTTATCCCATTCTTGGAGTTGCAGTGGTCCACCGAAGAAGAAGCAGGGGAGACGGGGCAAGAGAAATCCTTGCCTTTGTCCTCGTATGACATTAGTTCCACCGTGGCGCCAGCATGGCGTAACCGGACCGTCCTATGTGTTGGTGGTCAGGGCTTTCACACCGGCCCCGGTAGGTATTACCATCTTATCCTCCAAGTGCCCATCTTCTTCACCACGGTGGCAGTCATGTTGTTTACCTACTCCAGAATATTGAGGGCTTTAAACATCCGCATCGGTTCCCACATGAAAAAGGGCCAGCGGTTCAGGGGCCCCTCCTGCAGAGGGCGCCACAAGAGACAAAAAAAGGAGAAGCCGGGCCTAACGACTGATGGTGGGGAGTTAGGAGGAGAACAGTGCACGACAGATAATACCAAACAGCTCAGCCACCCTCCCCTCATCCCATCCCCAACCCCGACAGCTACCTCCCCCCATGCCCTGTCCTCCTCTGCTCCGCTCGTCAGCTCTGACACGGGCGCTGCCACCCCCATGCCAGCCACAGTGGGCGTTCAGGCTTCCGTGTCGGCCATCATCGCCCTGCGGCGGGCAGTGAGACGACATCGAGATCGTCGAGAGCGTCAGAGACGTGTCTTTAAGATGTCCCTCATCATCATTTCGACCTTTCTGGGCTGCTGGGCTCCCCTCTCAGTGACCAACGTCCTAATCCTGGGAATCGGCCCCAGCGACGTCCTAGTCAGCCTACGCCTCTGGTTCCTCGCTCTGGCTTACGGAACCACCGTCTCCCACCCGCTGCTGTACGCTTTCACCCGACAGAAACTGCGCCGTGCCCTTCGCGCCAAGGTTAAAAAGAGGGTGGTGTCCCTGCTCCAGGTAGACCCTTCTCCAGGTGGGGCTGTCATACACAACTCCTGGGTGGACAACCGAAAGACCAGCAGGCAGGTGCGTCTAGAAGCGAGCGAAGGCACCGAACGCTGCCTGGGAGAAGCCCTGTGAGACTGAAACATGCAGGTCAGGCTCCATAATGAAGCTCACCGGTGCGAGAAGCCGGTGTGAGAAATGTGCAAATCACATTTACACCTTGGGGAGACGTTTAAATGTAACCACCAGCACCAAGCTCCTGCTACACTCTCACCTCAGCGCAGGCTGCAGTGGAAGCAGGGTGTCACAATCACTGTGGCGCTCACAGCCTCTGCAGAGAATCATTCAACACACACTGTACATAGTTTGCACTCTGTGAGTCACTGAAGTCTATTTACATATGGAGCTGAATAATAGAGCATCCTCATAGTGGTGCTTACATAACCGATGAATGTGTTTAGCCAGCAGAAGATATCATCTGCCTTCTCCCACTTAAAGCCTCCAAGGCTTTAAAAAAATGTCGATACACTTCAAACACATAAATTCTTTGAATGTATTTAATATTATCTCTGCCTTAAACGTTCCGCTAAAAGGTATACTGTGCATTCGGAACAAAAAAAGGGAGCATGTCAGATATTTAAATGGAAGGCTCAGTGACAGCTGATGAACTTTTAACTTTTCAGGGTCAGCCTGGGAGAGAGACGATAAAGAACAAGTCAGAGGACAGTTAAAAGTGTAAATTAGTAAATCAAGTTTTGCTTTAGTGTGAGTTTATCGTGTGCTAAGATATTAAAGCGCTTGCATAAGATTTCGCAACACTTCTTTTGCCCCCCAGTTTATAGCAAATGGTGTAATATATTATTTGGTATTGCAGTCTAGCTGTCTCCCCCTGTTTCCACTCGTTATGCTAAACTAAGTTAACTGGCCGCTGGCTGTAGATTCGCGTTCACTGTTAGCATGAGAAATCTTCTCATGTGACTCGTGATGGGAAAGAAAAGACACAGCTCATCATTCACAGATACTGTGTTTATTCCAGGTCTATAGTCTTAGACTGCATTTTAGATGTAAAGCTGTTTAGAAGAAAATTCATGTAAATGATGTAAATACTGCCCACATGATGAAACTGAAGTGTGTGGTTATAAAACGACTTTCCTAGAGCAGAGCAGTGATCCAGCCGCCTCGTCCCTGTGTCGTTGCACCCAGACATGCGGTCCCGCAGGTCAGCCCCTCCCAGAGGAGTGTAACGGTCACCACAGCTGGGCCCTGACGGCTTCCTGGCGTTATAAAGAGTAGTGTTGACTTTACCTGCTTGTGTTCACTGCTCCAACACTGTACTCACGCTATCGTTCATTGCAGCGGCCGTGTGATTTATCACACTAATAATGCATTAGTGAATGTTAACAAGTGAAAATATATATTATATGTACACCAAGAATATCTTTAGAAGTTTTCTCCACAGTGTTTTTATGTGAATGTGTCACAAAACAGTGAATTAAAAGAATGAATTGAGTTTTTCTTTTGCGTGTGTGCTGTGTTGCAAGTTTGTTTAAATTTCCAGCTAGGGGTCAGAGCTACTCAGACTTCGTCCAAGTTAAAAAAAACAACTTGATAATGTCAGGTTTTACATTTCTTCACTAGGTTTTTTTAAGCCTCCTGCAAGAGGAATAACATGAGGACAATGTGCAGCTCCGTACATATAGCCTATATAATCACTCTATGCTGATATCTATGCTATGCTGCAAAAGAACATAATGTCCCCACAGAATCTTGCTCATACATCAAGGAATCTCTGTGTGTCCACCTGGTGAAATCGCACATGAGAGCATACAGCGACGTCTGAACAGAACATAACTGCATCCAACCGATCTCGAACTCCCCAAATGAACTTCATCAGCAAGTATGACACAAAGATGTGATGCGCACATGCATACAGAGACTCCTCCATTTGTTGGTGAGACGAATAGTCGCTTTAACATTTGCGTTGTGTGGTCTCTGTGTTGAACAAACGGTACATTGTGTTTGTGGATGTGTTCATTTATCACCATCAGATGCAGCCAATAATGAGTGGGTAGTGCCATTTACATGTGATAATTTTAGTCTTGTCTTACCACTGGTTGGTGTGCTAAACTCAAACCTCGGCGCTGTAGGCTTCCTTATGTGAAGATGTGCTATTTCAGTCTGTGCGTTCATGTTCAGTAAAAGTGCCCTCTGTAGGAATGCAGGCACCTATACCTGGCAGTAATCATCACATGCCCCTCCCACTGAACTCTCCTGTGGCTCATGGCGGCATAGCGGCTCAAAAGCTGCCTGCATGTTTGAAAACGTGGCGTGGGCTTCGTGTTGCGTGGGAGGGAGGCGCTACAGACCTCGGCAATATAGGGGAAAAAAAGAAGGCCATCCATGTGGGATGAAGCCTGCAAGGTAAAGTAGGCTAATTCAGCAGCACTTCAACCTGGAAAGAACAATTAGGCCACTGCAAATACCAGTGACAGAATTTTGGTTAAAATTAAATGACATATAAATAAATCATTTTTAATTTATTTTTTTGTAAATGGAAAAAAAACGTTTTACACTAATGGACATTTACACTGAACCTCAAGGGTTATTCTCTAACATTGCACAGCGGAGTATGGATATGATAAAGTGCCCTCTTCTATCCTAGGTGCTGTTTTGGGGTTAAAGGTTAAAGCTAATTTAGTTGGACAGACATCAGGAATAAATGGTCAGGAGTGGCTACCCTAAAAGGTACCTCGTCTTTTACTTTTTAAATGAACCATCCATTTCTCTTGGCTCACAGCGTGGCAACCAATTTCTATAAATCATGTGAGGACTACGAAATGTAGAGGACGGAGTGTTGAGTTGTAAGGATATCCGTGCAGATACACTTTTATGGGAAAAGCCAGCATTCTTTCTGGCACACAGTGAGGTGATCACAAGCTACAGTGAAGGAGTGCATGTAATGTGAACCAGTAGAAACTGGTTTTATGTGGAATTTTTGGAGCTGATGGCTCTAAGCATCTAAAGTCCATGTCTCACTTCAGCAGGGGCATGTTTCAGCTCAGTGTTTGCAGCTTTTATGCCTAAAGCTAGTTCTCATTAAAGAATAACAAACATATGGGAATACAGGAAAATGGTTCAGGCCATGCGTAACCTAAAAAAACTGAGAAATGTAGTAGGTTTGTGTAAAGAGGAAGACACATGATATTGTAAAACTGGGGTCAATTTAAGCTTATATTATATTGTATTGTATTGTGTATTGGCCTATATACTACTAGCCATCCACTGAATGACACACTGTATGTGACTGCATGCCATAATACGCTAATTTAGGCTGATCTTTCAGTGTATCGTAAATAAGATGTTATTGGTAATAGCTAATGGATGCAGGAAAAGGAAAGAACAGCGTTCAAATCTTGTCCAGAGGGCTTGTGGCACTTAATGTCCTGTGATAGAGCGCCCTCTGGTGGGGAAGTTGCAAATAGCAGACGTGGATATTTCATGACCGAGTTTGTGGAGCCTCGAACTATACATTTGAAAGCACAGGCTACGTGAGATATGAAAGTGGAATATGCAGTCCTCTAATGAAGTTAGATTTATTATTGTTTTTTAATCGACATAAACTGAAATGTTCATGTTACTCAGTTAATTCATTTATGCGGTTTTAAACGGACATGTGCAAACTACTATTAAATGAAATGCGCTCCAGATGTATACATCACAGTTTGCATTCAGTAGTCATCACTACAACCGAAATATAGCGAAACATGACCATTTTGTTATAGCCGCTAGATGGAGGCGGTTACGTACGCCAGCCGAAATAGCTCAGTTGGGAGAGCGTTAGACTGAAGATCTAAAGGTCCCTGGTTCGATCCCGGGTTTCGGCAAGCGGGCAATGGCCAAGTTTTTTTTAAGTGTTCCAGCTCTCTTTATGCATCATTTTTAAGTGCTACTACTTTAATTGTGATTTTAAACTGCATCTGCGTTTATGGAATTGATAAAGAAGTATGTCTAATGTACTGCCAGCTACTAGGCCACAAAGGAGTAGCATTTGGTTCAATAGGTTTCTGAAAGGTCTGGCTAAAACACTTGAAAAATTATGTAACTATGCAATGTAATGTGCTTGTGTTAAATACCAGTCGCAGCAGACAGCAGAACGCACCAGAGGAGCCTCAATGGGACTGCGGTAGGTATATGGGACTATTTGGATGTTCTGACTGTGTCTCAGCTGTTCTGATCTGAGTGCCAGCCGGGGTGTGTACAAGCAAGAAGGCCTCAGTCCAAGAGAGCAGGCCTGAGACCACAGGGCACCAAATGGGTCACGAATTTGCGTCATTCCTTTTGAAACCGGAATGAACAGCCAACTGGCTCTCTGTGGTGATGTGTTAATCAGCAGCGCAATGATAATGAAAAGACAGAAAGCGGTTCAGGGATCTAACAAGGTGCAAAGTGTTCAGATGGTTTGTGTTTGCATACATAATGTCTGCAGACTCAGAAAGACACTGAAGAGGACTGGTAACAGGAAGGCAGTTGAAGTAGCATTTAGGACTTAGAAGCTGCAGTAATATTTGAATTTCCTCTGAAGAAATGTGACAGTGCTCAGCTGAATGTACTGCAGTTACCAAATATGATATCAGAATACTGAACACTTAAATTATCCTGTAAATAAGATTTTTTAGTTTGTAAGACACTGGGCGACCAATGTTACACTGCATTTTTAATATGGATTGTTATATTTAACAGTGACAATGCTGAGAATACAATGTACACCTTTTCAGCTTAGCCACACTTATTTAAAACCCAAACTTTAGCAGATCATTCAAATTAATTGTATGCATTTTCATTGTCTCTCCTCCCTCATTTGTTGCCATGTAATTTGTCACCACATAATATCCTGTGCTGTTGGTTATGCAAGGTTCCCTCTCTCTTCCTCTTCATTGTTGTTCACACTTTCCACTGCTGTCATCTGGTTTCCTGCTGGCTGTTTTCCCAGTGGTCTTGGAGAGCAACAAAGAATGCCTGGAGAAGCCAATCAAGCCCAGTTCACCAATTCAGTTTGGTGGTTGAATAAAAACCTCACAGGTGGAGAGCGGTCCAGCCAGCCGGGCGGATGGACAGGCACAAGGAAAGGATGTTTTTGCTCTAATTAATCAAAAAAAAAAAAAAAAAAATCTATTCAGTAGCGTTCCATTTTCAAGCAGCTCCCACAGACGTCTCGACTAATTTGGAATGGCTTCAAGGCTTGCATAACTGGAGCAAAGTGACTTCTAACCGACAAACTTTCCTCATTTCTGTGCCATTTGCCAAACAGATTGAACAGGTTGAACTAGAAGCAGAGTGGTTCATGACATACGTCTCGGCAGGTTTTAGAAATATGCTTTCATAAAGTAAAAAGAATAAATGATCATTGTTATTAGACAGGTTGAGAGCATGACATCACGCTAAATTCCTATGATGCACTGCAATCTATTATTGCATTTATTATTTATGGGAAAAATACAGAAGAAGCTGCATCTGCAAAACTGTAAAACTGAATTGGTATCTGTACAATTTACAGAAATGTTTAACAGTGCTGAGAGACTGTTACTATTATGCTTTAAAAAAAAAGAAAAAAAAAAAGACTGGTACTGGTTTAACTGTGTCTGTCTATCTCCAAAAGTTGATTCTGTTCATCTGGACGTAGCGTTTTGTGGGAGAAACGATTTGGTCCTGCAGCTGACCTGCAGTCAGCTGAGACTGAAGAAGTCACTTGGATGAGTGACGAAACGTTTCTCCCACAAAACGCTACGTCCAGATGAACAGAATCAACTTTTGGAGATTTACTTCCCTGGATGATTGAGCGTGCATCAAGATGTGTCTGTCTAAATCTCGCAGATTTCTTTGATTATTTTTCTAGCTATATATAAAGCAGCAGTAACTTTTCCAGGTTTTATATTCCCGTACTATTCAGTGTCCTACTCAGGTGTAGTAGAACAAGCTGTAAACACCAAACATGACACGAAACATGACCTGCCAAAGTTTATATGCTGATGACGTTATCAAATGTCTATTTACACATTTAGCATATACAGAGCATCATTACTGTTCTCTGGGAGTCATGTTGTTGGTCACCGGATTAAACGAAATCCTGTGTTTACACTCTCTCTGCCTTTGTTTATAACTTCAATGGATAATTAGAAAAATCTGTCTCTTCAGCTGCTGAATGTTTTTCTATGTCACCGACTATAAACAGTGATTAAAGGGGGGAAAAAAGAGAGTCAACAGCTGTCATCCCTGTATGTGAGCCGGATTTTAAAACGCACCATGGGTACGACCTACGACTATCATGTGTACCCACATGTTCAGCTTAGCTTAGCTGTTCAGATATTAATTTTATTACTATCCAGTACCACTCTGTGCACATTTGCTTGTCTGTCTCTATTCATCAAGAAAGAAAACTGGAAGCCAGGTCTTGTTAAAAAAAAAGAAAAAAAAGATTGACATTGGCTTCTGTTGTTAATGCTGATAAGACA